AATCGTTTTGCAAGTTTAGTACCGGGACCGCAATAAGAATAACCAGGTAAATGAAGCTCAAACGGGAGCCTATTAATAGTACTATTTAAAAGACCTGCACCTGATGACGTATTCATTTCAAATGAAGCCTCGATAGAGTGTGCATGATTTATATATATATTTTACGATGCGAAAGACGAAGCAGAAAATTGAAATTAAAGTTGATAACTTTGATATTGCAACATCAAGTGTTAGAAAAAGACACAGTGATATTTTACCAAATACAATTAGATCGATAATATGTGGTCCAAGTAATTCAGGAAAAACAAATGTAATGTTAAGTGTTTTAACTGATAAAAATGGCCTTAGATTCCGAAATATATACGTGTATTCCAAATCATTGTATCAGGATAAGTACAAGTTCCTCGAAAATGTAATAAAACGTGTTTCCGGTATAAACTTTTACGGTTATAGTGATAATGAACTCGTTGTGGATCCACAAGCAGTTCAACCAGATTCAGTGTTTATATTTGATGATGTAGCTTGCGAGAAACAGGATAAAATAAGAAACTATTTTTGTATGGGAAGACATAATTTGATTGATTCTTTTTATATTTGTCAAACATATTCAAAAATTCCCAAACAATTAGTTAGAGATAATGCAAACATGCTCATTTTATTCAAGCAGGATGAAATGAATCTAAAACATGCTTATAATGATCATGTCAATACAGACATGTCTTTTGAAGCCTTTAAAAAAATATGTTCGGAGTGTTGGAAAGATAAATATGGATTTCTGGTTATTGTTAAAGATGATGACGTCACTAGGGGTAGATACCGAAGTAAGTTTGATACCTATATAGCTACATAAGTGATACCTACAGTTCAGTATATATCGAAACTTCATACCTGGTTGATCTAAAAGCTGTCCGTCTGCTCAAAACAGGGTCTGTCTATCTGTCTATGTCTATCTATCTGTCTGTTTATCTGTCTATCTGTCCATCTCTTTATATGTTTTAGATTATGGCTCCACCAATTTTGAGCAAAGCAGATAAAGAAATTAAAAGAAAAATCATTGATGCTGCCAATAATATTAGAAAAAAATACTTATCATTTAAGTTAGAGAGAAGAGAAGCAGATGATGCGATACATACATTTTTAAATCCTATAAAAGAACCATTGACCAAATTGGTTAAACAAACAGATGATTTAATAAATATTAAAAAGGAGGAGCCCCGCATTAAGAATGGAAAAGAAGAACATAGCGAAACCAAACCTAAAATTGAAAAAATCAAAAGAAGATCGATGATGCAATTTAACCCGATGAGATCAGAAATTATCCAGTACAACCCTAGTACTAGTTCTGAAAACGATAATGATGTATTCGACATACCGATGCGTGATTTAACAAGTGAGCTTGAGCAATCCGTGCAAAATTTGAGTCACTCGCAAGGTTATAAAGAATATTTAAATCAATATCCAGAAATAGCACGTGAATATATTGATATATATTACACCCAATCAAATAAAATTGATAATACCTATGGTTTAAAGCATAGTTTGTCAAATGATGGATGGAGTATGGGTAATGAGAAGGTTAATTTTCTACCAGACGGTAACATAAACGTGGGTGATAAAATTTACAAAGGAACCACCGGGTTATATGAGTTATTATTTTTAAAAGAACCAATCTAATCTTTACGTCAAGATCACGATACTTACAACGAAATATTAAATCAAACCAATGCTCACAGAAGAGGTTATGACTCATCTGGTCAGATAAGAGGATCCAGTGCAGCAAAGTATAAACAATATATACAACCTTTTCTTACAACAAAATCTGTAGGGAATAAACTTTATAGAGCTCGTTCTGCTAGTTCCCCTCCTTCTCTCAAAGGTAGACTATCATCTCATAGCAAAGGTATATCCGGATCCGCTTTATTAGAATACAATGAAAAGCCCAAGCAGTATGTTTATTATGATGACGTTAACGAGTTAATTACTAGACTTGTTAAACTTGATGCATCCCAAGAAGCTGGAAATGGTAACAACATTAATGAAATTATGAATATTTTTGAAGAACTTGTTGAATTGGATGTAATTGAATTTTATAAATAGTACCACTCTTTATCAGATACAATCATTACACTGCTAACCATGAACAAGTTTGGTCATTCATTATCTTCAACGCGCAAATCTGTGCAGATTATTCATTCTCAGTCCACGCTTCCCTTTAACGATGATGGTGATTAGAATACCGAAAATGGAAAAGTGTGTAATCTTAAAACACCTACTGATAAATTCGACGCAGCGAATAAAAATTATGTTGATAGAGCATTAAGGGAATTATCGGATACATTAAATACAAGCCTAAATGCATATATTTTAGCATTTGAGAAGAAACAAAAAGACCTGGAATCTTTAATAATAGAAAATCAAAAGAAAGTTGCTAATTTAAAGAATGCGAATGTGTTACTGAAAAATGAAATCATAAAGAAAATAAATGTTAAAATAACAGCTTTAGAGGATAAACTTAAATAAGGATTGGCATTATAAGCAGTAATACCTTTTACTTAGGATTAGTATCAAAATGAGTATCATAACGAAAGCTAGGGAGCAGGTAGTCAACGAGCTACATAAGCCAGCACGTAAAAAATTTAATCGTAGGAGATTTATACAGTATGGGTTAGATGATACTTTTGCTACAGATTTAGCTCAATTGGATCATTACGCTCGGGAAAATAAAGGAAACAAGTATATTTTAGTGGTTATTGATTGTTTTTCAAAATATCTCTGGACTAAACCTATAAAGTCGAAATCTGCACAATATGTTGCTAAAGCTATGGAGAGCATATTGAAAGCTTCGGGGAGGTATCCTAAGAAAATTATTTCCGATAATGGTAAGGAATACTATAACAGTCAATTTCAAAATCTAATGAAGAAGTATGGAATACACCATTACAGTACATTTAGTCCATTAAAAGCTTCTATTGCGGAACGAGTAATTCGAACCATTAAAGAGAAGCTGTTCAAGCAATTCACGTTAAACGGGAACCATAAATGGCTAGATTTATTACGTCCTATAACTGATGCATATAATGATAGCAAGCATGGCACGATTCATATGAAGCCTAATCAAGTGACTAAAAGTAATGAAAAAGCACTAGTTAATACTGTTTATAGTCATATTAAAGTTGCCGGTAGGCAAAAGTTTAAGGTCGGTGACGTAGTTCGCATAAGCAAGTTTAAACATTTTTTTCAAAAAGGTTATACTCCGAATTGGACTACGGAGCTCTTTAAAATAGCAAGAGTACATATTACGAATCCAATAACGTATCTGCTAGAAGACTTGCAAGGTCAACCTATAAGCGGCGGTTTTTATGAGGAGGAATTACAGAAAACAAAACAGTCTGATGTGTTTCTAGTGGAACAGGTGCTACGGACAAAAGGTAATAAAATGTACGTAAAATGGTTGGGATTTGATAAGTCACACAACAGCTGGATTGATAAAACCAAGGATGTCGTTTAAAGTTAAAAGTCTTTCATTTGTTAACCATTTATAATAATTAGCTTATACCGCAAAGACTGCGATGAAGCCATGTCTTCTTATTCGCATAACCTAAGTTATAGGCATAAAAACAAGTGTTGTAATGATTTGGAACCTAATGTTCAGATTCTTAAAACGGCTTTCAAAAATCGTTTAATATCCTATCGATTATCAACAAATCTTCATCCTACCAGTGTTGGACTTTATATGGGGGAATTGAAACCAAAAATCATGGATTTGATGCGAAAAAATCTTTCTATGCACACTAACATAAAACTCAATATGGAATTGTATGGATTGCATATTTTACAAGAGATACAGGAAATAAAATCTTTTAATTCCTGTTTTATTATAATTTCTACTGGCACGGACATTGAGAAAATATTTGAGACATTTAGAGAGGTCCTTGTTTCCAAATCTAGTGAATTTCAGGAACGTGATAGTGGTTGGAGTCTATCTAAACTTCTCTTTCTGGAGGTAAACTTAAACAAGTTTAAGCCGTTAAAATAATTAGAGTGGGGGGGGGGGGGGGGGATTTTTTTATCTATATAAGCTCCAAAGCCAGTGTACTTTTATCGAGTCTACAATGTCAGATTTGAGAACAATAACATCAACGGAGAGTGAAGATGATGGAATATTGACTAGTGCTGGCTTAACCTGTTCTTCACCCTATTGGCCAGATAAAGAAGATAGTATGGATACTGGAATATTATCTAGTGGTGATAGTTCAACTGTTTCTTCACCTTGCTGGGAGCAGTACTTTAACAGTATGGTGTTAAGAAGTAGCCGCGAAATCCAGAATGAAACTAAGTTTTTGGGAGAGACTAGCTATTTAGTCAAGAATTTTGAGATTATTGCGGGAGTAAGTATAGCCCGAGGATTGGTGTCTAGTGTTAAAATCATCAGCACGTATACAAATCTACCTAAATAACAAGTGACTGTATCATTTGATGAGACTGAGTGGTTTGAATTTCTGGAAATCGTGGAGTTATTTTCGAATTTACCCGACGAACATACGAAAATAGTTGTGTTATGCTCGAAAAACCATACTGTTTCAACAATTGTATTTTTAGGGGAACGACTAATTAAGTTATGTAGTAGAGAAGTTTATTTATATTTGTGTATAAATTATATTAAGGCATTTTTAGATAATAAACATATTGTAAATTGTAGATTAAGTCTTCTTCGAAAATTGGATTTTAGAACGTATTATGATCAACTTTTAAATTATTATAACATTTTAACTATCTGTAAAAATAATTGTTTAGATGTCATCAAGGAAGGCTGTAAATTAAATATGTCCGAATTATCGTACTTTATGCTAGAATTTATACACCTTAACCCTAATAGAATAATTGATGATTTTAATAAAATTAACCAATGACATCACCTTTGTCATCGTTGTTTAATAAACCTATAAAAATATTTTTTTTTTTGCTTTTTATTTTCCTTAGTATAACTTAAGCTTTCAAAGATGTGTGACCAGTTGTTGAAGTTTCTTTCAGGAGAAAAAAATATTAGAGAATGTAGTGCTGAAGAACTAAAAGAATTACCAATTGATTTCTTCTTAAAATATGTCGATAGCTCTACGCTTCTACATATTTGGGGTCTGCTGCCAGTAGAACACAGGCAAGAATTTGAGTTGCAAATAAAATTACCATGTTTTATACATTACAACAGACCTGATTGGAGGACTCATGTTGATGGACCTCCATCGTCACAGAAAACATGCACTTTTTGCATAAAAGCTTTTGCTAATTAGTGAAAAATCTCATTTGCATAGCAGCAATGGTTTGGTTAAGTTCCAGTTTTATAGCTCTCACTGCTATTTTTCAAAATGTTCTCTATATACATACACCATCATCAAATGTGCGAAATATTAGGATTCAGCTGAAATCGGACAATTATTCAACTGGCTTATGGATTCCGCTATGTTATCGCATCATAAACCGTACACCTACATTCCAAACAAAGCTTCCAGCTACTCGAGATCAATTCTATCAGTACAAGCTACAAGTGGAGTTTCTAAATAAAAGCATTTTAACAAGCAAGGACTGGATAACTCTTGGAACTGTTTTAAACAACGAAATAGCCCCTGTTCACGTCACTATATGCTTGTATAATAAATATATCTATGATTTTTGGAATTTTTTTATTTATAATGGTTTATCATATGGGTAAAAGCCAATGTACTTTATAGTTTAATAAATAGAATTTAATTAAAAATATAATTGTTTCATTCCTAAAGCTCTCGGAATACAAGCAGCCGTTTAATGTTCTCTACCATTAGGACATTAACAATATTATTTCTATTACTTAACGAATGTTGTAATTAAATTATTGTTACGTCAGTGAATATTATTTATAATATTAGAAATCAGGCGAGGCTAGCCTAGCAACGGAACCAGCCAACCGAACGACAATAAGCCAAGCCTATTTTTTCATATCTACAACATTTAGCGGTTTAATTTCCAAGGCAAGCTTAGCTCGTTTGGTTATAGCACTGGCTGACGTTGACTATGGAGCGACATAGACTTTTTTTTTTTAATGCGTACGTGGATGGTACGGAACGATTGGTTCTCGTCCGGTAGTCGTATCGAACGGGTGCTTTGTATTGCTTGCTCTCAAAGTAAACAAATCGCTTTTTTGCCATTCCACTGTGTGAAAACAAAGTTTTTTATCGGCACATTCCGCTTCCGGATGTGTCAAGTAATTTCCCAGTTTTCTGCGTCAAATTCATCGTCGGGTAAGTGCTGATAGTAGCAATACCCAGTGTTTCTCCGGGGCTTTCGCCCCATATAAATTAGAGCCTTCTAGGCCTAAAACCATTTTCGGAATTTTTTGCTGCAAAATTCCGGAAATTCCACGAAAGCTGCCAAGCAGAAACAAGTAAGGGTTCCTAGCAACATCGGTTAGGACCCCGAAATAAGTTAGGGCACGCAAATTCTAACGCCAACCAACGGCAAGTAAGGGGACGAGAACATCCTACGGTTTACGTGGACGTGGACTTAGACGAAAACCGACAACAAATTTTTACACTAACTAAAGTCAGGGCACGTCTCCTTCGAACTAAGTAAGGGGACGTGGACTTAGAACAAATTTTTCCTGCAAAAGTTAGGGCACGAAAACCGTGAAGGTAGCCACTAAAAGTAAGGGGACGTTCACAGCCAGGGAACGTCCAATAAGTTGGGGCACGAGTATAAGTCAGACTCGGAAACAAAAGTAAGGGCACCTAATTAAAAAAGGGGAACCCTAAATAAGTAAGGGGACGTTCTCAGCCAGGGAACGTCCAATAAGTTGGGGCACGACCAAACAACCTGCACCTGCAGCAAGTGAGGGAAGCTTCAGAGCGAGAGGTCGTTTCCAAAAGTGAGGGCACACTGCCTCACACCATAAAATTCCTCAATCAAAAGTGAGGGTACGCTAATTTCAATAGAGAGCGACAAAGTAAGGGGACGCTTCCCGTGTATGAGGGAACGTCCGATATAATGGCAACAGGCGGATTGTAAGGGGCCGTCCGAAACAGAGGCAGGCGAAGACGCCTCTAATGAATCGGATACGGGAAGCATCATGAGCACCACATCCAGCGTCTCACTACACAAAAGGAGCATCCCGAAGGTTAGAGAAAAACTGGAACATCAGGCAAGCTCGTGTAGAGAATGCCAAAGATACCTAACCTACATTCAGCAGAAAAATCCGGATGAAGTCAGAGACAACATCGAAACAGTTATTGAGCATCTAAAACAAGCCCACAAATACACAAAACCCAAACCAGTAAAGCGAAGGCTCACCAAAAGCCCTGAGAAAGCAAATAAAATTATGAAGGGGAATGGGACCATCCCGAAACAGCCCCTCAGACCACCCACCCCAACAACAAGCGAGGGTAGGCCTCCCTCTCCAATACTAATAAGGGAGACGGGATTCGGCAGCCTTTTCAATATCCCAGTAAGGAACCAGTTCCAGATTCTGGAGACAAAAGATCCGCAGCCTGCCGCCACTGTCACTGCCCTGGATAACTCGAGGGAAGAGATAAGGGCTAAAGCCGCCCAAGCAACCCCCCCCCCCAAAGCACCTGTAGCCCCAAGAACAGGAAAGAAATCCCTCCCCCCACCGATAGTTATCCGGGGCAAACTTAATAATCATAAAAGATTTTTAGAAATGGCAGAAACCATAACTACGGAGCCTCTGGAGCTAAAATACGCTAGGAACTCCGTCATCCTGTACACTAAGAACGAAGCAGACCACAGCAGCATGGCTCGGCACCTAAAGAACGATGGTGCCGAGTTCCATACATATACAATGCCAAATGAGAAAACACATGCATTCGTATTACGCAAAATGAAGGGTAATTACACCACAGCAGAGATGAGGGAGTACCTAGCGGACAGATATGGGCTCCGAACTAAGGAGATATATCTGATGAAGAATACGGGGCAGGACAACCCACTGTACCTGGTGGTTACCAGCTCAGACTGGACACTAACTAAGATCAGAGAAAAAATAAAAACCATCTTCGCCTCCAGAGTACAGTGGGAAGAGCGGAAAAACCGCAAAGAAATAGCTCAATGCATCAGATGTCAGGCCTGGGGTCATACCATGATAGGATGCAACCGATCCAGCAGATGCTCAAAGTGCGCAGAAGCACACATGACATTCGACTGCCCCAACAGGGATAGGCAGTCGATCTGCGTGAATTGCAAAGGGGGACACCGGGCAATGTCGACCAGCTGCCCGGTGTACAAGTACAAGAAGCAGCTGCTGGATGAGAGGAATGCTCCCAGGCCTGTTTTTGTTCCTGCCCCACAACCCCAGAACCCAGCCTGGTTCCGAAGAGCGGCCCAGGCCCCACGACAACAGCCACCACATCAACAGAGGCCACAGGGGCAAAGGCCCCCTCCACCGCAATTCGCCTACGATAGGGACTTCCCTAGTGGACTAGTGCGTGACCGCGGAGTGCGTGCTACTGAAACAACGCGTGAAGTGCGCGAGCCTATGGCCGATCGCCCTGGCCGACAAACCACCGCCAACCCTGTGGAAACGTTCAATGCGCTCCAAACCAAATTTGCCCGCCTTGATGCGCTGGTGAATATGGACGGCATGTTGCGGGCATTGGACCACTACATTGGCATGCTCGAGGGATGCAAAGATGAGGTAGAGATGTTCAACGCCAGCCGCATATTCTTCGTAACAGATATAAAAAAGTTTCAAATAAGTCCAATTCAGGGTAATAACATGGAACGCTAATAGCCTCAACGGCAAACAAGGTGAGCTCATCCACTTCCTTCATCACGAGAGGATCGACATCGCTGTAGTCGTGGAAACATGGCTGGGGGATGGAGATCGTTTCGTGGTGAAAAACTACTCCTGCGAACGCTCTGACAGAGCCGGCCGCCGCGCTGGTGGTGTGTCGATATTGATCAGGAACTCAATCGCATACAAGCGGATGCCACAGTGGCACAGTGCCATCGAACATGTGTGCATCCAGCTTGCGAATGGCGTCCTGACCAATGGCTGCTACAAAGCCCCGCAGACCCGTCTGTCAGTAGCCAACCTAAGTCCATTCTTCCCCCAAAACTCTCGCTCCTTGTTGCTTGGAGACCTAAACGCTAGACACAGACTTTGGCGGAATCATAGAGGCAATACCAACGGTATGATCCTAAATGATTTCGTCAATGACCGACCGGAGTTGGTACTCCTCAGTACTGAATCGCCCACCCATTATCCTAGCAATAACATGACACCGACATACATCGACCTTGCCCTCAGCAAAGGACTCAGGGAACTTTCCGATCTCGTTACGATCAACGCCCTGAGCTCGGACCATCTACCCGTCTTTTTCACCTGGGGCGAACTTGATCCTCCCCGCCCACAAGTTCGTCTAAGTTATAAAAACTTCAATTGGCCCCTGTTTCGGCAGAATCTCAATACCCGTACCGAAGTTCCTGGTCAAATTGACACCGTAGACGCTCTTGAGCAAGAGGTGACAACCTTGACCAGGAACATCCAGCAGACCCTAACTCCCCTTGCTAACCGGGTAACTGTCCATCAAGGCCGTGACGAGCTCTCTCGAGAGCTCATAGATCTTATTTCACTGAAGAATCGCACCCGGAGGAGGTGGCAACGCCTCCGAAGGGACGAGGATCGCCAACGAGTTCGGGAGCTCGAGGGTGCCATTAAGAATGGCATCAGCGAGCTTCGGAATCGTAAGTGGACACAAACCCTCCAGAACCTACGTCCTCAAGACAACTCTCTATGGCGCCTTCAGTCCAAAATGAAACGGCAATCTGTGCGTACCCCTGCCATTACTAGTAATGGTAGGGATTGCGTCACTGCCCAGGACAAGGCGGAAGCTCTGGCTTCGTTCATGGAGAGTATTCATTCCGGTCTCCCACCAAACTCCCCTGAACAGGAGGAAATCGAACGTACAGCGACAGCCTTTGCTATTCGGAAATACCCCATCCACCAGCACTTGCTCGCTGAACTCATTGCCACGCCCGGCGAGATAACACGACTTATCCGCCGGCTCCCAAGCGAGAAGGCCCCCGGACCAGATGGCATCCCATATCGAGTCCTCAAAAATCTCCCGCGTAAAGTTATTGTCCAGTTGGTACAAATAACAAACGCAATCCTCAAACTTCAGCATTTTCCCCTTCAATGGAAAATGGCTGAGGTGGTTATGATCCCTAAACCTGGAAAAAACCATTCACTCCCATCCTCTTACCGCCCAATCTCCCTTCTAAACTCCTTTGCCAAGCTCGTGGA